AAAGATCAAAAATTTCTAAAGATGGATGGTGCCACAACATTGTGAATGTATTTAATGTCACTGAATTGCACACTTAAAAGTGGTTAAAATGGCAAATTTTATGTTATGTATATTTTACCACAATAAAAATATATTTTTTTTAAAAAAGACCACATGTATCTATTCTCCATTCTCTGCCAAAGAGCAAAGAGCAGTCAAATGCCAGGCATTTGTAAAGTTCATACTTAGTACAGGGACTGTCTGACACGTGGTGGGCCATCAGGACGGGCCATCAGATTCTCGTTGTTCATTTTGACAATAGAACTGAGACTCAAAGAGGCTGAGTAGCTTGCTCAAGATTACACAAGGACAAATTCAAGATTCGAATGTGAATGTCTGATTCCAGAGGCTGTGTTCTTAATTATAAAGCTTGACTACTTCTTGAAAGAAACTTGGGAGATGCTTAACAGCAAGAAAACACACATGTGCATGTGCATGTACACACACACATGTACACACCACACACACACGCAGGCACCCCCCTTCTGAGATGGTTTGCTGGGTTCGAAATATGTGCAAAGACTTCTTATAGAAGTGAGCAGTGATAAACTCCATTAGTGTGCAGCTTGTCTCTTGCTCACCTCAATTAATATTTGTTGAAAGAGTAAGTGTTGAATGACCATCAGTGTGTCCTAAAGAAATCAGATTTCCTGAAGGAAGTGGCATATCAACTGGGTCCTGCAGTGTGGGAAGAAGTGAGGGAAGAAGATGTCGGCAGGCGCTTCGGAAGCCTCCCCTGACCTCCAGGGTAGGCTTGCGGGCACCTGAGCTCCATAGCCCTCCCTCCACCCCAGGCTTCCTTGCTGAGAGCACCTGGGCTGAGCTCCTGAGTTCACTGTTTACTGCTCCACTAGGTGGGAACTCTTGGCAGACAGCGCCCCAGTCCAACCCTCTCTGTGCCCAAATCCCAGCCAAGAGCTGGCATAGAATCAGTGCTCTGGGCTTTCTCACTGGACAGATTAACAAAAGGAGAGCTCTGGAAGAACCCTCCAGAGGAGTTCAACCTTGAAGAGCTCTTGTTCAATTCTCCTTATTTCCGTTTAATTAGAACAAATTCCCTGTTAGCTCAATTTCCATTCCCGAAGGTGGAAGGAATTCAGGAAACTTCTCCTAAGATGCCGAGCCCATTCTCAGTCTGCTGTCTAGACGTATGACCGAGGCTGCCCTCCACGTGAGCTTGCAGAGTTAGTGGGGGCTGTAGCAGCAGCTGGCACATGTTACCTCTGTGGCTGGCAAGGCCTCCCTTCTGAGCTGAGGAGTCCCCACTCTGAGACAGCAGCCCTGGCTGAATGGCTGAGGCTCCCACCTATCTGATAGTTACCTGTGCAGGTGAGGCCTGGGCTGCTGCTGCAAAGCACAACCTCAGGGTCACAATTCACATTAAATGCAAAGTGAAGGGGATTCTCTGGAGGTGTGCGTCGCAGTTATGCTGGGGCAGAGGTGAGGCTTTGAGACGGACCTGTGGTTGTGGCCATCTACCAGCTGTGTGTGAGCCTGCCGCCCTCAGAGCTGGCCTGCTGACGTCTCTGCTCTGTGGCCTGGATCCCCCACTGCCAATACTATGCAGTACTTGGACTTAATTTCTCTTGCCTCCAACTGAGCAATATGGAGTAGAGGAAGGCATACAAGAAAGACCTGGGTTCAAACCTACATAAGTCACATTAGCCATGTGATCTTGGAAAAGTGATTCCATCATTTGGAGTTTCAGCCTTGTGACTTGTAAATTGGAGATAATAAAATCTACCTTCAGAGTTCTTAAGAGGATTACATAAGATAATATTTATAAAGTGCTTAGAATAGTGGCTGACATATAATTAATTTTCTATGTGTTTGTTCAATGAATACAAATTTATCTCAATATCCCAAGTGTCAGTCTTAGAACATGTGACCTTGAGTAAGTGCTATGCCCTCTCTGAGCCTCACTTTTCCATTTGTACAATGCGGGTGTATGACATACCATCCTGAAAGTCTCCTCTGGCTTGAACATGTGAGGGCTCGAGAGCTTGTAACACTACACCTCACCATCCATTCTCAATTGGCTCCAGTATTGGCTGACTTTGTCCCCAGCTACCTTGACCCCTGGAAGATCTGGGCCTTCTGTGCTGTAGAACTCAGGCCCCTTGGAAATGCCAGGGCCAGGGTTTGTCAACATGGATTAATTCTGAGAAACGCGACAGCCAGGAGTGTCTCCAGAGAGGGTGCTTATCCGGCCTGGTCACTGAGGGAGTGGTCTGAACACGGCTGAACATTCCAATCAGCCAAGTAGCCTCGGGGAAGAATTTAGAGAAAAGGGCAGTGGGAAGCTAGTGCTGAGGTCTCTTAATCCCGGGGAATTTAAAGCCACCACCGAGTGGACTCCTAAATGAGTAGGGATTTGCTTCTCACAGCTTCAACAGACTGCTGCGGAGAGAAAGGTTTTAAATAGCAAAGGTGGCTTGGCTTGATTTGGCTGAGCTCACAACTGGACACATTCCTCTTTTGGTTCCCAGGGCACAAAAATAGTCTGGTCGGGGAATGGAGGTGCCCTGGGAGAAAGGAGATGGCGGTCTTCTCAGGTATCTTCAGTAGGGGACATAAGATGTGCCAAATAAATGTAGAGGGGGCCTCCTGGACCATCACGTGGCATTTTATGGCTTAGTAGGCTTTAGAGTTTTCTTGTGTGGTTCTCCTTGTTGGGAAAACTGACTCCATCTAGGACCTGCTCAAGGTCACCTTTGAGCAAATTAAGTCAATGGCAGAGCCAACGCTGAGACCTGTGTCTCTAGGCCCTAAAGTTGGCTGAACTCTACTCTTTAGGCACACAGCTTCTGCTCCAGCTATATAACCAGCATAAACCAGTGCAGTGCTTTGTTCCGTTCACATTTACTGAGACTTTGCCATGTGTAGGTCCTGAGCAAGGCACCAGTATGGGTGGGTCTGGGATGGGACAGAGATGAGCCCTGCAGGCACCTAGCTGTCTTCCAACTGTTAAGGCAGGGACGTTAGCAGCCTGAGAAAAGATATTTTAGGAAGGAGGAGCTGAGGGAGGGGAGCACATCTGGCTGGAATGGAGATGAGGCCGGAGACTTGGAGCTGAAAAGCTGCTTCCGTTTTCTGTTTTCTCATTTTCACCGGTTTTATCTCCCCTGTTAGCACAGGAGAGAGGGATTAAGCCTCCCCCATTAGCTGGGGGCACTCCCGCAGGCCCCGTCTCTAAGTCAGCTTCTCCTCCCCGAACGCCCTTTCAATGGCCTTCTGATTGTCCTGGCCTGGCTGCTACCTGGCTCAGGTGAACCATCTCTCACATGGTGTGTTCCTGGGCTCCTGGGCTCCAGCCCACAGCTGTCTCATACCTCCCACTCACTGCTGCTAGAGTGGCCTTTTTGCACCAAAACAATCTTTAGGAACTGAGCATTGTGAGAACCTGACGTTGCTTCCAGTTTTCTTCAAGGCTGTCCTGGGACAGGTGCAGCCAGAACGGTTCTGGCAGCCCCAGGGCACAGAGTAGGACTAGTGGGAGGAACACATGGGACAGGTTGTTTCAGCATCAAGGGAGGCAGCATAGTCTGCCAGCCAGAGGGTCTAGTGCTGTGGCAGGCTGCTGGGCTGGGGAAACGGAGGGAACGTGTTTCCCCCCTTCTTGGGAGGTGTATGAACAGGGACTTGAGACACTGTTGCTTGCTTAGACATTGTAGAAGGTGTTTAGGCACCAAACACAGGCACCAAATTTCAGACCAGGAATTAAGATTGTAAGCATTCAGTGCACAGTCTCTGTTTCCATGTCTGCATCACTTCTTGGTCAAGGAGCAATTTGAGAGCTTTTGTGGTTGCAAATAAGCATGTGGATCTGATTCATCTCATCCTCCTCAGCCTTTAACACAGAGCCCCCAGCACTTGCTAGGTTCAGAAGTGCTTGCAAAGAGAATGAATGACTTGTGAGCATCTGAGACCCAGAATGAGTCCAGGGCTGGGCCTGGCCACTCCAGCTGAGGACTGATGGGGACTTGGCATGGAGAAAAGGCTCCCCTCTGGCTTTCAGTCTCTGAGAACTACCCCACTTCAAAGAACTTGAAGATAAGAAGAGCTTTCTGGACTAAGTGAGATTTGGTCCTTCCCCAGCTCCCCCTCCCCTCACACCAAATGTGCACATGAAAATCTTGCTTTCTTATCTGTCTAGGCTCAGATTTGGCACCCCGGGGCTTGAAAGGCTGAGAGAGAGAGAGCAACTGATGTTTCATCCAGATGTCCTTAAAGGCCTCCAGCTGTGGACCACAGGATATTGTTTCTTCCGAGGTGCCAGCCCCAACTTCTACCTGTATGAAGGTGTGTGGCTCTGCTTGAATAGAAATTGAAGAGGGTGCACTAGAAATCAAATCTGGAAGGCAGAGAATCCTGTGAGAGCGACAGACCTGGCGGGAAGGATCCCAGGAGAGGAGAGTGTATAAGAAGACAAAGAAGGTAGAGGTTGTCATCTTTGAAGGGGGAATTCTCTATTCAAGACAGAGTCCTTAACTCACACTTGATAAGTGGACAATTCGATGGCTGGAAGAATGGATGGTCTAAATGGGTGGTGATCCATTCAAGGACTTACTGGATGCTTCCTTAGACTCTGTGATAAATCAGACCCAGTCTGATAGGACAAGTATTTAAACTATGAGTAACAGCAATTGACTACTTATTTCATGTCAGGCACTATTCTACGAACTTTAAATTAACTCACATGTCCTCACAACAACCTTATGAGGTGGGTACTGCTGTGAACCATTTTACATAGGAGCAAATGGAGGCAGTAGTTGTACACCTCAGACAAATGACACATTCTCTTGGGGCCAGTTTTTGCATCCATAGAATAGAGAATTGGGCTAAATAAAATCACTCATGTGAATGTGGCCAACACAAGTTGGTATGCAAGAAGTGTTTGTTGAATCTTAGTTTGACATGGGTAATGAAGTGACAAGGTCAATGTTTTCTGACTTCAGACTCTTTGGTTCCTCTGCCGCCCCATCCCCCATCCCAAGGGTCTAGCACATAGCAGGTGAGCATTACATGTCTATTAAATGGTTGATGAAATCTTTGTAAATTCCAGAGTCTGCCTTGGACTGGCTGCTTTCCTGCACTCCACCCGTATGGGGAATGTGGTGTGTTTTCCTTAGCTGGGAAGGTTCTCCCTGCAGACACTGCTTCCCCGACTCACAGGGGCCTGATCTCAAAAGCCAGAGTTTGCAGGAGGCCTCAGGAAAGGGGTGGTGGGGATCCCCAAACAAGGCTATGCTTCCCTTTATGCTGGTGTCAGCCCTTGGGCAGGCTGGCTCCCAACTCTCTGGGGGGTATGTGCGGAACTGCTTTGGCTTGTCTGAGAGCCAAGGGTGGAAGGGAGCGCACATGCCTCCCACTGCTGAGTGTATATGTAGCAGCCTGTGTTTGTCTAGTGTGAACAAATCAATCTTTGTGCCCATTTCTTCCAAGAAGTAGATTGGCTGGTCCTTCAGAAATAAAATCATTTAACAAAGGAAGCTCTGCAATGTCAGGCTGGGCAGTCCCAGTGTGGGTATCAGACAGTAGGGACCCTACACAGAGCTCTTTGCAGGGAAGTCTTTTCTATAGCAGTCACTCCCTGCCTAGGATTGCTGCAGAACTGGTGATAGGACCCTTAGGATAACAATAGATGGCCTTGCATGAGCCCTGGAGGGAGGAAAGGGGAGATGAAACTAACTCTGTGAAAGGTAAGACACTGAGGCAGAGAGAGGATAGAGAGAAAGGACACATTCAGGCAGAGGGAGCAAGCCAGTGGGGGTCCCCAGCATCCTCTCCTCGTCCCGTGGTGCCCAGTGGCATGGTGGTGCAGCAAGAGGCACAAGACCTCTGATGTCACCCACATCTGGGGCCTACCGCAAGACCCAGGGATTTGCACTGAGTCCAGTCAGTGCACAGTCGACCAGAGAGGAGCTCTGTCACACTTGGAGCAAGGAGATGGGGCAGAGTTATTTTTAGAGTCCGCCTGCTGGCTGAGATCATAGCACCTGGCGTCAACCAGCCAAGCTCTCGTCCTGCAGAAAGATGTATTCTAGGCCACTTTGGGGTGGGAGCTGTTCTCAGGAAAGCCCAGATCACTCTGAACTGTCAGACCTGCCAGACCTGCCAGACCCTCCCCACAGACCTCCTTGGAAACTGCCAGCTGGAGTCTGTTTGCACAGCTGGGGTGGGGGTAGAGGATGGGTGGAGAGGGGCTGCCCTCTGGGTCCTGAGGCTCTGGCCAAATATCCTTAGGCCAATTGGAAGTAGCCCAGAATGATGAAAGGGCCCTGCAAATCCATGAATGGGACATGGAATCCTGGGGCTGCTGCTTTCCAGCTGCCTGATCTCTAGCAAGTCATGGGGCCTCTATGAGCTTTCATTTCCTTATCTATAAAATGGAGAGAATAAAATACATAGCTATCTTTTGGGAGAACTAAACCTGGTTATACACACAGTGGGGGCTAAACATGTTAGTTCCCCTCTGTTTCTTCTCTTTATGTCCCTTTTCTCCTGTTTTTCACTCTGCAGAGTTATGTATCCATCCATCCATCCATCCATCCATACATACATACATCTTGATATATATATGTGTCTATCTCTTTATATATATATTCACTGAGTGCCATTGGTTGCAGGCTCTATGGATGCCATTGTTTTTCACTCTGCAGAGTTATGTATCCATCCATCCATCCATCCATCCATACATACATACATACATACATACATCTTGATATATATATGTGTCTATCTCTTTATATATATATTCACTGAGTGCCATTGGTTGCAGGCGCTATGGATGCCATGGTGAATGAGGTGGGCTCTAGCACTGAACAACCTACAGTGTTATGACAGAGACAGACGGACAAGAGCAATGCTATCAGAACTGGGAACATGGGCAACTACGCAGAAGAGGTGTTGACTGGACTGATTCTCAAGTCTCCTCAGCTAACAATCCTGAGTGGTCAGATGCCCTCCTGCTGCTGCCTGAGTAGTTGGGCAGCTTCCATTCATCTTTTAAGCACCGTCTCCTCCAAGAAGCCATCCAGACTTTCACCAGATCTTCCATAAGGCATTGTACTAAAAGCTTTACTGTCCAATCCTTGGAACGATGCTGTGAGATGGGTGGTATTATCACCCTACTTTACAGATAAGTCTCCAGGACTTAGGGAAGTCAGTGATGTCATCTGAATTTAACTCTGTCTGAGTTCAGGGTCCAAGCTCTTTCCACAAAACTAATTAGCCTCTTCTTTAGGCTTTCTTCCTACCCTGAGTCCCCTGAGCCCCTCTCAGAGGACTCATCACCAGGCTTTTAATTATTTGTTTACTGAGCTGCTGTTCCCACTCATCTAGAAACCTTTCAGGAGCTGGACTATATCTGATCCCTCTCTGTGACGAGGGGCCCAGCATAGGTCCGGCACACAGCAGGCCTCAGTGAACATTTGTGGAGATGGAACCAGTCCAAAAATATGTCACAACAGTCCCCCGACTCCAACTGGGCAGAGTCTGTGATTGAAATGGTTACCCTTCTCTCTGGATTCCACCTCAGCAGTATGACCCCACCCTGTTGGCCCAGGTCCCTCTCACCGTCAGTTTTTCCTGGTCTCAGGTGCTCTGGGGCTAGCAAGGTGTGACAGGGAAGGATGTGTGGTGACCATACACGAGGCAGGCCGACCGAGACTGTGAGAGTATGAGCTCCTGACTCACGCTGAAGTGAGGGTAAAGGCTGGGGAAGGGAGACATGCCTGAGGAGAAGCTACACTTCATAAACCCAGGAAAACCCAAAAGGCTTTGCAAAGGAGCTTAAGGAATTTAGGATTGGGACAAAAGGCTCAGAGAATTGACCCTAAAAGCAGAAGGCAGATCTGGTCAATTCTTCAGACGTGGGTCTGTCGTTGGCGTCTGAGCGGCTGCTTCGCTTCCCCTGTCAAAGCCCAGCTATGCTTGGCGCATTCGTTAGGGTCCCAGCAGGCCCAAGGCTGTGGGAGCCTGGGAAGGAGCTCACCCGGGGGAGTGACTGACAGGTTGTCAGGCAGGCTGACTTTTGGTTGGGAACTTGGTTCATAGGCAGATCAGACAGCAGCTGAGATCCCAGGGGAACCTGGCCCTGGTGATGGATGCTCTGAGACCTTCCTTTTTGCCTCTGCTCTGTCTCCTCTGCCCACCCCCCAACTTTTATCTTGCTTTCTTGTCCTTTCCTTGGTCATTGGCCAGTGGTGCTGGGGATGGAAGAGCCGGCAGATTCATCAGGCAGGGATGAAGGGAGGCTGGAGCCATCAGTTTATGAATCAGCTCAGCTCTGGCGCTCCTGTCAGTTGGAGACAACGCAGCTGCATCTGGAGTATGTGCCCCAGGGGCACTGTGCTACAGAGGGAGAAAGAGGCTGCCAGGAGCAGACGGACCTGACCTCGAGCCCTGGCACCACCACTCAACAACTCTGTGACCTTGGGCAAGCCACTCGACTTCTCTAAGCCTCAGTGTCCTCCTCTGTAAAGTGGGGATAATAGAATCTGCCCTGCCTAAATCACAGATTGTTGATAGCATCAAACGAGAAAAAAGTTTTCCAAATTGCTGACAATGGACATCACCATTCTTACTAACCACCTGGAAGGCTGGTGGGAGAATGAAGCTCAAATCCAGGTCTTCGATTGATGACTTCAGGTTGAGCTCCTCTGGGTCTGCCTATTCAGTTCCAGGGATTGAAAGCACAAAAAATGGAGCCAGTGCTATGTTTAACTGATTAAATGACTGATCAACGAATGTGGCTGATGAATTGTAACTATTCGGGAATCCTTAAAGCGCTCACTACAGAGTCAGTGTAAAGACTGTGTGATGGGGAGGAGGCAGGTACAATCTCCAGCCTTTGGGGAACTTGCAAACTCTTTGGGGTGTGGGACATCCATTAGAGAGCTATATGCTAAAAATATAAGGCAGAGCATCCAAGATACCAAGTCTGGCCTGTTCATAATTGTATCCCCAGTGCCTAATGCACATCGTTGACATTCAATAAATACCTATCAAACAAAGGGATAAAGAGATGAATGAATGGCACAGATCATCACTGTATGTTATCTGTATGCCCCTTGAGACTTCCAAGCTCTTGGGTCATTTGGAGAAAACTGGGTCCGAAGCTCAGACTGCCCAGCTGTTCCACAGTTGTTTGTCATGCTTCTCGTCCCTGCTTAGGAGAGTCCAACCTCCTCCATGCATGTCAAACCATCAAATCCCCTCACGAATCACTGGCCTTTCCTTCTACAAAAATTTAATTGCCCTGGGAATTTGGTCATGCTTTGTCACTTTGCCAAAGATTTGAGGGTGTCACAGGGGCAGGATCACAGGTTTTGCCAACTTGTACAAATTGCCCCATAGAACTCCCTACCCTCTAAACTCCACGTTCCTGACCTGTGGCTGCTCCCCACCTTTGGGGAAATGTGGTCTGGGGAGTACCCCCCAATCCCTTCCTGCTCTAGTTCATGGCTTTTCTTGCAGGGAGGAGGGCCACCAGTCTGCTTTCCTTTTTCCAAGAGAATTCCAAGGAATACAACATCTACTATTTTTCCCACATGCATCCTCCCAGGCCCTGTGATTTCCGAGACAAGTTCCCAGAGGGTAGTGGTTCAAGTTCAAGCTCAGGGTAGAGGAGGCTCTTTCTAACACTGAGAAGTATTTAGATGTCTAGAGGTGTGAGCTCCCTGTCATAGGTGTAAGCAGAGTGAGATTGAAGACGGTCCTTGGAGGCGCAGGTGTGAATTCTCGGTATTTATTCAATTTGGGGGCTGGAAAAGATATGAAGCCAGGAAGTAGGAGACATGGGTTTACAGCCCAAGCTCTCTTACCGACTCTCAGTGTTAGCTTGATCAAGTTCCCATCCATCTCTGTGCCTCGGTTTCTCCATTTGCACAATGGGTGGGGAGCAGAGGATAGGAAAGTCAGACTGAGTGCTCTCGTAGGTCCCTGCAGCTCCGAGACACTGTGATTTCTTGGTATCTTAAGAGTGGAAGGTGATTTGTTTTTTCTGCAACAGGACCTGAGTGTTAAGTTTGTGGGAAATTGAGAGTGACTGGATTTTCTTATCTCTCTGGCTCTAGGCCTAGTTGGAGCTTCATCTGGCTCCAGCAGAGGGGGAAGGGATGCCCCAGACCCTTCTCTGGTCTAGAGAAGGTAAAGCAGGCCCTTGACATCCTGCATGGAGTGGGCCTGGCCAGGCAGCCTGTAGAGACAGAGGGTGTCAGCAGCACAGAGCAGTATGGCCTGTGTGACAAGGCTAGGGGATGAAGAGCATCTCTCTGCACCTCTGTGCTGCTCGGGGTCATAGAGGAAAAACTCTGCTTTTGGGATGAAACTGGGTTGTGGAGCCCACTCCTGTCTGTCTTCCTCTGCAATACAGACTCCATGGGAGGATATGGGAAAGCGTGGCTCTCTCCAACTCTCATCGAGATTGGTCCAAATGTTCCCCAAAATTTCCCATTTAAGGTCTCTAAAGATACCTTTAATTATTGGTAAACATTTTTCTTTTTAGCTACCACATGCTAGGTTTTATTCTGGGTGCTGAGATATAGCAGTGAATAAGAAAGAAATGGCCGACTCTGGCCCCGTGGCATGCCCACTTCTCACCCCCTGCAACTTCTGGGCCCATGGCCAATCTGTATCACAGCATCATCACTGTCAAGCCAGAGAACATGCACTGTCAAGCCAGAGGACATGGCCCAGTGGACAAGATCATCAAGAGTTTTGAGCAGAAAGGATTCTGCTTCGTGGCCATGAAGTTCCTTCGGGCCTCTGAGGAAAACCTGAAGTAGCACTATGTTGAAACGAAAGGCCTTGCATTCTTCCTGGGGCTGGAGAAGTACATGAATTCAAGGTTGATTCTGGCTATGATCTGGGAGGGGCTGAATGAGGTGAAGACAGGGCTGACGACGCCTGGGGACACCAATCTAGCAGAATCTAAGCCGGGCACCCTTCGAGGGGACTTCTGCATTCAGGTTGGCAGGACCATCATTCATGGCGGTGATTCAGTAAAAAAGTGCTGAAAGAGAAATCAGCCTATGCTTTAAGCCTGAAGACTTAGTCACTGCAAGTCTTGTGCTTTTGACTGGATCTATGAAAACAAGGGCACAAAGCAGCATTTCCCTTTGGCACCACTTGATGCATCCCTGGACACAGCATTTCATTCCACAGACTTGGAATAGGATCAATAGGGTCCTATTGGATCAATCTTTCTTTCCTGAAACATATTTATCAATAAAGCCTTTGGATATCAGAGAAAAGGAAAGAAGGAAGGAAGGAAGGGAAAAAAGGACAGAAAGAAGGGATTCCCTGCATTATCTAGCGATAAAGAGACAAACATTTTAGTACAGGGTGATACATCATCTGAGAGGAACCCACCAGGACTGTAGGAACATGTTGGGGATGACGGGGCTGATACCCAGATGTGGTAGGGCCAGACAAGGATTCTGAAGTCTAAGAAGAAATTTGCTAGACCAAGGGAATGTAAGGGAGGAAGGGTGTGTTCTAAGGAGGAGGAGCAGTGCCTGCTAAAGTGGGCAAAGGGGGAAACTCATCTGAGCCTTGCAGTGGCTGTTTCTTGGGTGCGAATGGCAGCTGAAGAGCAAGAGGTAGGAGGGGTTGGGCAGGGGAGTGTGGGGCATGCAATGGAACTGAGGCCGGAGAGAGCAAAGCCAGGATCAGGCAGGGTTTAGAGCCATGTGGAGGAGGCCGAGTATTATTCTAGAGGCAGTGGGAGCCGGTGAAGGATTTTAGCGGGCGTGACACGATTAGATTTGTGCTTAAAGACAGTGGTGATGCCATGTGGAAGATGGACTGAAGGGGCAGAGCCTGGAGACAAGCTGGGAGAATAGCTCAGTGAACCAGTGAGGGATGATGATGGATGGCCTGTGGTAGTAGAAATAGGAATGGAGATAAACGGATGGATTTGTGAGGTTTTAGGGAGGAAGAATCAATAGGACCTTGTTTTCCATGAACCTTGAATTCTTAATGATTGTTTTCCAAATCTACTATATCTTTTAAGCAATTAAATTTAATACACACATTATAATAGTAACAATTAATAAATAGTAAGGGATCACATGGGCTTCATTCATGAGGCTTTGTAAATGGGTCTTATCTACACACTACCCTTCATGTCACAATAGACAATTAGAACTTTGGGTCGTTAGAAGCTAAATTATTTAGCTTAGTCAATATAATCATAGCCTAAAGCAGTAACACTTGATGTTTTAGTTACTTAAAGGTTGTAGTTAGTCATCAAGATCTGGTCTCTTTACCGCTGGAATCACCCTCCAAATGGTTGTCTACACTACAGTCAGAAAGATCTTCCTAAAATGTATATTGGATCATGCCTTAAAATTTTTTGGCAGTTTCAGGGTTTCTCTCTCTTCTCTCTCAGTGCCCTCAGTGGACTTCATTCACATTCACAGATACCACCTTTATGCTATTTATTCTCAAATATATCTCACGGTCTGAATGCTCTCTCAAGTTTCAGACCACAAATCCAACCTGATAACCCCAGCCTGGATGCCTCACTGGCACCTCAGACTCAATCTTTCCAAAATTGAACTCTTGGCCTCCCGTCAAACTCCCATCTCCCAACCTCCACCTCTTCTAGTTCTTCCCAGTTTAGTAAATGCTTTCCCCAGCCATGTGGTAATCATCCTTGGCAATCATCTTCCTTCTCTCTTACCCTCACACTCAACCCCGTCACCAGATCATTCTGATTTACCTGCTCCTTTCCGATTCTTCTGCCCACCCCTCTCCTCCTAATCTAGACCCTTGTGCTCTGTTGCCGGGATCCCTTCAGGAGCCTCCTATCTGGAATCCTTACCTCCATCTTGCTTTTTTCTATGCCATTCTCCATACAGAAGCAAAGGGGACCTTTTAAAATATAAAATGGACCATGTCATTTCCCCACTTCCCTTCTTAAAATCAAGAAGCACTTCCCACTGCTCTTAAAATATCATCCGATCTTAGCAAAGCCAGGTATGATCTGGCCCCTGCCTACTTTTGCTGCATATTGCAGGTATACGAGAGCCGCAAGAAGGTTTGCAGATCTGGGAGGAGGAAGTAAAACACTCAGAAGGGCAGTGCAGGGCATCAGACACTGGTGCAGTCACTGTATTGGCATGGGGCAGCGGCCAGCCTGCTGTTCCTCTATCTCCTGCCATACTGTTCTTTGCTTTCCTTTTTTCCTGGCCCAGGGGAATGTTAGCTCCGTGGCGAAGGGCCCCATTTCTCCTGCAGCCACCAGCATAACTCAAGGAGGAGTTCTGGAGGACTGAGACCTTCAGGATATCATCTTTACATCTTTCCTCTTCGACTATCTGCCCTGGCGATTTCAGGACCCAGCATCAGAAACGAGGACAACAGCATCCAGTAAACTGTTAAGCCACCTTCCACAACTGCAGAAAGTCAGATCCCTGTAATAAATCCCTTATTATTACTCCTCGCCATTCTGTTTCTCCGATTGAAACCTGACCAATGTCCTGCCTCTCCAGATTCATCTTGAGCTAATCTCCCTCATGCTCACTGCCTGCCAGCTGCCCTGGCCTTCTGTTCCTCTGTTTGTTTGTTGTTTTCTTGGACATGTGACAGTTCTTTCCTCTCCTGAGCCTTGCTATGCACTGTTCCTTTTTCGGGGGTGCTATGCTTCTCATTCTCTGCCTGACTAACTCCTGTTCATCTGAAGATCGCAGTTCTGTTATGTTTTCTCCTGGTACTAAATATTTCTTTTTTTGGAGACCTTA